TCAAACCTTACATAAACACTGCAATAATTCATACTCTTCCTCATGGCTTTACTTTGAAGCAGGCTTTTTTCTGTTTCACATTTTCCTTTGTGACTTATTAGATAAACTATTAGATAGGGCTTTTAAATGAAGAGTTTGTAGACTTTTTAGACTTAATTGGGCTAGATTTGTACAGCATATGGAAGATTAATGTACAGTGCTCTGGGCTTTTGAAAGTACGTTCATGACATTTGCATAGTTTTTATGGCAAAGCAATCTCAACTGTTCTTTAGTAATTTGAGTGGTTTGACTAGGAGATATTTTAGCTTGACTTTTACAAGTTTGGGATCACAGAATTTTGAAATATGTTTTACTTTTTGGTGATGAATATTAAGCTCACTAGTGATATCTTGATCTGGAAAGATGCTAAAGATGAGCATCATTTGGATAAGTAGTCTTCTGTTGGTATTCTTAATATCAAACAGTGGCAATTTTTTCTCTAAATTTAAAAATGATCTTTTGAACATACTTGTGTACTTATTTGGTCATATATATTGCTTATAACTTCACCAGTTTGGAAGAAATTCCAGTGAAAGATGAGTGAACTGTTTTTGCTTTGGGAAGTATTCTTAATTTGCCATACATTTTTTAGGATTTTTAAAATACAGGTTTTCTCTAAAGCTGTTGTGGTGTTAGGAGAGAAGAAAAGCACTTTTCCTTAATATTTTGAATCCCAGTGGATTTAGTTGTTATAGCCAGAATGTGTTCTTATTTGTTTTGTGACTTATGATGCTATTTTGAAAGGCTAACTACAGTAACTACTCATGGAAACATGAATACACTTGAATTTCTGACTTAATTTTTCCAGGAATTGTTATTGTACAAGCTTGTGCTTTTTCATAAAAAATTTGGTGAGAACCTAGGGAAATAGATTTGTGTTTATGGAGTTTTCTGGGCTAGTTTAATCATCAATGATAAAAGCAATTACCAGCTGTGAAGCTGAGCTTTGTGACTGTTATAGTTTCAATTGACACATTTGTGGTCTAATTTATGACACATTCTTGTTGTATATAAATATATAAATATTTTGAGGTACTCAGATTTGAAAGCCATAGCAAGTAAGAAGCATGTGTGGGATTTTGTTACATGCCTTCTCTTTTTTTTTTTTTTTTTTGTTGGATATGCATTCTAATTCTAATGAAGTACTCTGGTGGTTTCAGACTCGCCTTCATAATGTATGGTTCAGTGTGGCCTGTGCGTGTTGTTTTGTGTTTCCTGCATTGATTTTTGCCTCCGTTTATTCTCTATTGCAGTCTAAAAGTTGGTTTTAATTGGTTGCCCACAGGATTGACTTGGCCTCTACTTCTTGTTAAGAAAATACATCTCTTGTTTGATCAGGTAAGAGATTTTGAATAGAGAGTTTGTTTTTATACAAAATAAAATGAGATAGCTTTTATTAAGAAAAATGAAAATATATGTAGTAACTAAATTGTGTGTGTGTGTGTGTGTGTGTGTGTGTTTTGTTTTTTAACAAGCTTATCTGAGGAATGGGGTGGGGTAGATTGGGCACCTTGAACAGTTGTTGCTTCCTTTGGGGGGGTCAGTTTTATATGGATTTATTTATATGCTGCATTCCTGATTGTTAGACAGTAAGTAGCTGTTTTATTCCTTAGTACCATTTTAGACGAGTTATAAATATAGGTGCTTGTTAGTGGTATGCTTATTTATATTCCCTAGAAGCATAGTTATAGATATTGGGTCATGTGTTTTAGAGTACAAATTTTAGACTTCAAAGGAACCTTAGAAGTTGGACTCTAACCCTCTTGTTTAAGTAATTAATTAAACTAGGATCAAGATAGGTTGAAATGACTTATCTGTCAGACAGTTACTTAGTAGCAGAATAGCAAATGTTATTTTATATTCTTCAGAACCTAAAAATTGTTTTCCTCTTCAGATGTCTTTATGAATAAATCTTGTGCTTTGGTTTAGTACTTAGTCCTTTCTAGCTGGTAATCTGAAGCAGTTTTCAGTAGCACGTTTTCATGTGTATCTTGTATAGACGTTCAGTAAATCCCTACTTGTAACAGAAAATGGTTTAAAGACTTACCTGTGTATGTCGGTTTTACCCTGTGTTTAATTTTTGTGTTTTGGGACTATATCAAGCTTCTGTTTAGTTGTCCCAAAGCAGACTAATCTATCTCAGCTTGTTTTGGGTACCTGTATTGCCCATGATGTTTCCCCCATACAGAATGATTAAGCATTTTATGAAGCAGAAATGGAAAATGATATTTCAGTTTTGCATATAGCTACATAGTTTAGATTCAGTAAGGAATGAGAATTTGATCTAATGACTGCAGATCTTGATGAACTTTCTTATGGGCTGCTAGATAGTAAATAAGGAGAAAAGAGTTTGTTGGTTTGATGTCTTTAGTATTAATTTTTCTTGTTGACACTTGCAGTTCATAAATGGAAAGCTTCCCTGAATTTCTAGTGTTTTATGATGGTCTCACAAAGAGCATTTTCTGTTTATCAGTCCATCTTTCTGGATTAAATTTGAAGGTTGCTTTTACTTTTGTGTATGAGTGTGTGAGAAAACTGTCACATGCTATATTTCTCATTTGTATATAGCAATTATAATAATGAAGATATCATTAAAGGTTTTGTTGCATTGAATTAGTATTCATGTGATGCTTGACATTGAAGAACTGCTTTCATGGAGTTACAGAATTCCTAGAGCTTACAGCAGGAAACCTTGCGCACTGTAATGTTCTTATTTGAGAAGCGATAAAACCAAATTTTAATTAATTTATATTTTTTCTGAGGTCACAGAGCCAGTTTAATAGGCTTATATTAAAAGTTGACCTTTTTTTTTACTTTTTGAGTCAGAGTCTCATTGTGTTGCCCAGGCTGCAGTGCACTTATGGCACTCATGCTGTACATTCATGGCCACCGAAGCCTCAACCTGCTGGGTTCAGGCGATCCTTCAACCTTCCAAGTAGCTGGAACTACAGGCATGCACCACCATGCCTGGCTTTTTTTTTTTTTTTTTGTAGTGACAAAGTCTCACCATGTTGCTGAGGCAAATCTCCAACCCCTGAGCTCAGGCATCCTCTCACCTCTGCCTCCCAAAGTGCTGGGATTACAGGCATTAACCACCCCGCCCAGCCTAAAAGTTGACTTTTTGTTTTTGTTTTTATTTTTGAGTTGGAGTCTCACTCTGTCGCCCAGGCTGCTGGAGGGCAGTGGCTGCTCCCTGCCACCGCAGCCTCAATCTGCTTGGCTCTGGCAATCCTTCTGCCTCAGCCTTCCAAGTAACTGGAACTACAGGCATGCACTACCACGCCCGACTAATTTTTTTTTTGATTTATTATAGAGATGAGGTCTCGCCAAGTTACCCAGGCGGGTCTTGAACCCGTGGGCTCAGGCAGTCCACTCACCTCAGGCTCCCAAAAGCATGGGATTACAGACTGAGCCACTGAGCCCGGCTAAGTTGACTTTTTTGAGCCATAGTTTCACTATATTGCCCAGGCTGGAGTGCAGTGGAACAGTCTCAACCTCTTGGGCCTGGGTAATCCAGAAGTTGACTTTTAAGATGACTTAGAAAACACCCTGTGTTGTTGACCACATTAATTTCAAGGTAATATGTTTCTCAGTCCCAAGATTTTAATTTGTGTCGCTTTACAAAGGGCTGCCTTTGCATTTGCTCTTAGAAGCCTTTAGAACTGAAATACTGAAATTTGAGAGAAACTTTATTTTTGATCAAATCAAAATAGACATTATCTAAGGATATCAGTTAGCAACCAGAAATCCTACAGGAAGTGTGTTGAGTCACAGACTGTAACAACTACTGAGTAAAGTTCGCACTCTAGTTCTTCTAAAACAAAACCAAAAAGTACTTCCTTTTCTTTTTGGTTTTTTTGGGGGGGTTTTTTGTTGTTGTTGTTTTTTTTTTTTTTGAGTCGGAGTCTCACTCTGTTGCCCAGGCTGGAGTGCAGTGGCATGCTCAGTGAGTCATGTGACTTGAGTTTTAGTTAAAATAATTACAGTGAAGGACACTATAACTAGGTTTACTTTTAGGGGTAATGAATATAGGTAACTCAGATTTTGGCTGTGCTATTCAGTATTTCTTTTGGCTTCTTAGTAGGTATTAAAATTGTTTATAGTAATTCCGTATGTAGTATCATTTAATAAATAAAGCTGTATATAAGGCAGATGGAAAAATTTTAGGATGAAATATGGAACCAGTTCTCATTTGAGACTTGAAACTGCTTTAGAGTTAAGTAGTTTTTTTTTTTTAATTTCATTCTTCTGTTTATTTAGTTTATTTTTTTATATCAATATTTTTTATATTGATATTGTGGGATACAGTTAAGGGTTAGGTATACAAATATGCTTCATTCAGGCACCCTTGTTGATAAGGGGTGTCTTCCTTTCCCCAGACAGATACTGACTACCGTTAATCCCACCTCCCTTCCCCTCCCCCCTGAGTTAAGTAGTTTTCGTAATTCATTAGTATTCTACTTTTTTGTTTCTGTTGGATTTTGAAACTGAGTTGTCTAAAATCACTCTGATAATTCTGTAAATTATCAAGTTTATAGGGAATATGCTAAACCTGTTTTAAATATTAACTTTGATGCATCCTTTGCATGTTTTCTCCCTATAGATTATTAAACTGTGTTTCTTAATTTACACATTTCTTTTAAATCTTTCTAAATATTTGTGCTCTGAATGATGTCTGTGGTGATTTTTACTGTCCTACAGTTGTTTTTTCCTGAACCTTTTAAGTCTTGGGACTGAACTTCTCATTGTTTCTAGAATTAATGCCTTTTGGAAGTTGAAGTTTTCTAAGTTTTACATTGTAAATGGCATGTAATACTCAGTTTTTAGAATATTTAAATTAAACAAATACATTGCTTGTGATAGGTTGAGGACATAATATGGGTAGCTGGTCATTCTTGTAGCTAAAAACCGGGTGTGATAAACAGGAGTCTGACCTGGCCGTTGCCTTTTCTCATCTGCAGGTGTGTGTGGTTTCAGCGCAGCATGGCTGTGGTCATCCGTTTGCAAGGTCTCCCAATTGTGGCGGGGACCATGGACATTCGCCACTTCTTCTCTGGATTGACCATTCCTGATGGGGGCGTGCATATTGTAGGGGGTGAACTGGGTGAGGCTTTCATCGTTTTTGCCACTGATGAAGATGCAAGGCTTGGTATGATGCGCACAGGTGGTACAATTAAAGGGTCAAAAGTAACACTATTGTTGAGTAGTAAAACGGAAATGCAGAATATGATTGAACTGAGTCGTAGGCGTTTTGAAACTGCCAACTTAGACATACCACCAGCAAATGCTAGTAGATCAGGACCCCCACCTAGCTCAGGAATGAGTGGCAGGGTAAACTTGCCTACAACGGTACCCAACTTTAATAATCCTTCGCCCAGTGTAGTTACTGCCACCACTTCTGTTCACGAAAGCAATAAAAACATACAGACATTTTCCACAGCCAGCATAGGAACAGCTCCTCCAAATATGGGGACTTCCTTTGGGAGCCCAACATTTAGCTCAACTGTTCCAAGCACAGCCTCTCCAATGAACACAGTCCCACCACCACCAATTCCTCCAATCCCAGCGATGCCATCTTTGCCACCAATGCCATCCATTCCCCCAATACCAGTTCCTCCTCCAGTACCTGCATTGCCACCTGTGCCTCCTGTACCTCCTATTCCCCCAGTCCCCTCCGTGCCACCCATGACCCCACTGCCACCCATGTCAGGCATGCCGCCATTGAATCCGCCACCTGTGGCACCGCTTCCTGCTGGAATGAATGGCTCTGGAGCGCCTATGAATCTGAACAATAACCTGAACCCTGTGTTTCTGGGTCCATTGAATCCTGTTAACCCTATCCAAATGAACTCTCAAAGCAATGTGAAGCCACTTCCCATCAACCCTGATGATCTCTATGTCAGTGTGCATGGAATGCCCTTTTCTGCAATGGAAAATGATGTCAGAGATTTTTTCCATGGGCTCCGTGTTGATGCCGTGCATTTGTTGAAAGACCATGTAGGTAGAAATAATGGGAATGGATTAGTTAAGTTTCTCTCCCCTCAAGATACATTTGAAGCTTTGAAACGAAACAGAATGCTGATGATTCAACGCTATGTGGAAGTTAGCCCTGCCACAGAAAGACAATGGGTAGCTGCTGGAGGCCATATCACTTTTAAGCAAAATATGGGACCTTCTGGACAAACCCATCCCCCTCCTCAGACACTTCCCAGGTCAAAATCGCCCAGTGGGCAGAAAAGGTCAAGGTCAAGATCACCACATGAGGCTGGTTTTTGTGTTTATTTGAAAGGGCTACCATTTGAAGCAGAAAACAAACATGTCATTGATTTTTTCAAAAAGTTGGATATCGTGGAAGATAGTATTTATATAGCTTATGGACCCAATGGGAAAGCAACTGGTGAAGGCTTTGTAGAGTTCAGGAATGAGTCTGACTATAAGGCCGCTCTGTGTCGTCATAAACAGTACATGGGCAATCGCTTTATTCAAGTTCATCCAATTACTAAGAAAGGTATGCTGGAAAAAATAGATATGATTCGAAAAAGACTGCAGAACTTCAGCTATGACCAGAGGGAAATGATATTAAATCCAGAGGGGGATGTCAACTCTGCCAAAGTCTGTGCCCACATAACAAATATTCCATTCAGCATTACCAAGATGGATGTTCTTCAGTTCCTAGAAGGAATCCCAGTGGAAGAAAATGCTGTACATGTTCTTGTTGATAACAATGGGCAAGGTCTAGGACAGGCACTGGTTCAGTTTAAAAATGAAGATGATGCACGTAAGTCTGAATGCTTACACCGTAAAAAACTTAATGGGAGAGAAGCTTTTGTTCATGTAGTTACCCTAGAAGATATGCGAGAGATTGAGAAAAATCCCCCCGCTCAAGGAAAAAAGGGATTAAAGATGCCTGTGCCAGGTAATCCTTCAGTACCAGGAATGCCCGGTGCGGGACTGCCCGGTGCGGGACTGCCCGGTGCGGGAATGCCCGGTGCAGGAATGCCCAGTACAGGAGGTGAAGAGCATGCCTTCTTGGCTGTAGGATCAAAGGAAGCCAACAATGGGCCTCCGTTTAACTTTCCTGGTAATTTCGGTGGGTCAAATGCCTTTGGGCCGCCACTCCCTCCTCCAGGATTAGGAGGAGCCTTTGGTGATGCTAGGCCTGGTATGCCTTCAGTTGGAAACAGTGGTTTGCCTGGTCTAGGACTGGATGTTCCGGGTTTTGGAGGTGGACCAAATAATTTAAGTGGGCCATCGGGGTTTGGAGGGGGCCCTCAGAATTTTGGAAATGGCCCTGGTAGCTTGGGTGGCCCTCCTGGCTTTGGAAGTGGCCCTCCTGGTCTTGGAAGTGCCCCTGGGCATTTGAGCGGGCCACCAGCTTTTGGACCTGGACCTGGCCCTGGTCCAATTCATATTGGTGGTCCCCCTGGCTTTGGATCTAGTTCTGGAAAACCAGGACCAACAGTAATTAAAGTGCAGAACATGCCCTTTACTGTGTCTATTGATGAGATTTTAGATTTCTTTTATGGCTATCAAGTAATCCCAGGCTCTGTGTGTTTAAAATACAATGAAAAAGGTATGCCCACAGGTGAAGCCATGGTAGCCTTTGAGTCTCGGGATGAAGCCACAGCTGCTGTCATTGATTTAAATGACAGGCCTATAGGTTCAAGAAAAGTAAAACTTGTATTAGGGTAGCCATTCACATCAATTCTTTATAAGGTAGATCTTCATATTGCTGTGGTTAATGCATCCAGTTTGTTTTTCTAGTATTTCCAGGTTAGAACCTTTGGATTGTTTCAATTGCATATAGTTTGGTTTTCATAACGTAGAGCATTGGTTGACTGTTTACAGAAGACTCACTCACCAGGATAAACATTGCTGTATGTTACAGTAAAGCTATCTGGAGAGAACACATAAATGATTTTGGCATACCAATAGAGAAGCCATTTGTAAAGCTCAAATGACCACATAAAGTTTATCAAGGAGTCTAGATTGGTTTTGTTTTATACCATATGGGATGAAGAAAATAGAAATGTCAGTAGAACTCATTGAGGGTGCTCTTGCCAGCTACTGAAAAGTAGAAGTTGGCTACTCTCGGAATTTGGTCTAAAGCGGGACAGATTTGCTTTGTTTTAGGGTAAAGCTATGTCTAAGTCCTCATTTTCTTTTAAAATTGAATAAAATCTCTGTATACAGATTCATTGTATGTACCTTTATTGCTTCTTGAGGGTTCTTGCTGTATAGACAGTCCTGCTTCAGAAGTTGCTGCTTTGTTTGACTCACTTGTAAATAAGCAGAACTGTTTTGTTGGTTTTTTTCCCTAAATATAAAACCTCCACACTTGGTTTATGCTATAACTTTGAACTTTGATTTCTAATGTCATACTTAAAACTGTGTGGAATAAGACTTTTGCCATAAAAATAAACTATGGAGTCCTCTACCTACCAGAGCCTTTTTGGTTTGACCACCAAGTTTGAGTTCAGTCAGTTTAAAAATTGTTCATGTTGTTTGGATGACATTGAAAACTAGAAACCACTTTTAATAATCAGTGTTTAAGATGCTTGGTTTGTAGTCCAATCTATGATGGACTAACTGTTCTAGCAATTTCCTTCTGTCCCAGTTTATGTGAAATTTTGGCCTTTAAGCAAACAGGAGTCCATTCATAAGAAAGAGCATTACTATATTGTGGTTTTTAAAACTGAAGTTGAAATTGTTAGCTTTGTTAGCCGTAGTATTATTGAATAAAAGATCCATAAGCTGGTTCATAGATTGATATGCGTTTAATCCTGTTATTTGGAGGCATTTTGGTGTAGTTGTTCGATCAGGAGCCTGTTTACAAAAATTCTTTATACAGAATACAAGTGCAGCTGCCAGAGGGGAGAAAATTTATATTCCTTGCCCTTTCATACTCTTTTCTTTGGCATTCAGGACACTAAGGCAAGAGAACCACATGGGTTCTCGTTGGTGAGTGTCCTTGTCATGAAAACATTTTCCTTACAACGTCCTGCTCGCTGCCACAAAAGGCTCTAATTAGGGTCATTTTTCTTAGTTAAAATGTTCTAAAGATGTGTCACATTATAAACATACAGAATGGGAGATTGTTGAGATATCATGGAAAGCAAATTTTATTTTTTACATGACCCTCTTGCTTTGGTTTGAAACATCCCCAACATTTTCTTCAAATCAATATATATTTACAAAGGGGTTAGCCTTTTAAAATAAATATTTCCTATTTAAAAAAATATAGTGCCTTTTTGATGTTGTAAATCAGTAGAACACCGATATACAGCGTCGTGTAACTTAGAGTTAAGAATGGCAACAGTTTGATTTGTGTGATAAGATTTGGAAAGCCTTTTCATTTAAAATCTTAGAGGATTGACAGTACAGGATTTTTGTTTAAGGAAAGGATTGTTTAGACTTTCAAGAGGTGATTGTGTTGTGGGTCTTTTGATAATTCATGAATACAAATTTGCTTTGATAGATATTGCCTCCTCAACTTAAAAAGCAATATGATGTTTGTATATGCTGTTCAATTTAAGTTTCTGTTAAGTAATCATTTCTCATTCCAAAGACAATGCAAAAAACTTCAGCACTGCTCGGGAGTCTATTTCAACTGCAAATATTTTCCCCATTGGAAAACTAGTTTCATTTTAGAAAAATGGGTTGTTTGAAAATGAAAGTCTTTTATCTTTTTTCACAATTTGTTTTGGTTATATGTTCGTACATTATTAAATATTTCATACACCTTATTGCAACTACTTTGTTATTTCTACATCTTAGATAAATGCTGAAAAGGAAAACTTGATTGTTCATCGAATTAAATAAATTAAGAAAATAGTGGTTTGTGTAGAATTGGAGAGAACTATGTTTCATATTTCATTGAATCACAACGGTTCTCGTTGTGAAATGTAATTAAATGCTTTGCCCTCTGGAACTTGATTTTTGTGTATCTAAGATTTATTAACACAGTGCTAACTGCTAAGCATACTGTTTATCCTGTTCTGGGCATTGGAGTTTCAGTTAAAAAGTTTTTTTGAAAATGTGTTCTGTGAAACTATTCAGACCTCTTGTCCTGCAAATTTTCTCCTAAGAACTAGGTTTGGGGTGGAAATGAATTTACATTATTTTCTCATTTGCTTTGTATAGTATGAAGGATTTGTAAAGCTCTGCTCAAAGTTGTGTGCATTTGTAAACACTATTATGATATTTTCAATTTTATGTGTAATTTTTATTGTCTGTTTTCGGTGACCATGTCATTAATGGAAGAGAATCTTTTCCATTAGGTTTATTTTTTTTTTCTCTCCCTTCTGCTGAGTTTTTATTGGTGTTCATTTTTCTTTTGCTTTAAAGGATTAGATAAATCTACAAATGTATTTTATAAATAAGCAACTTTGTAAACTCTTCTGAACTTTAGTGAAACATTTAGTTCATAAGCATAATTTGTAGGTGTGTTCTGTGTTTACACTATAGTTTGGATGTACAATTATTAGTGGCTTTTTTAAAAAATACAATACAGTGTTAAGTGAAATATAGTTCCTAGCTTTGTACTCCAGGTTATCAAAGCATCAATGAAAAGTCCATTAGGAAGCTTATTACTCAAAATTTCAGATAGTAATATTCAGTGTAGTTAAGGTCAGTCTAACCCACTGGATGAAAATCTAGGTCTGTATGGGCGTAAGCCAACATATATATTTAGGTAGAAATAGTCACCTTGTATAAAAATAAGGACATATAATAGCCTTTAACTTCTATCCCTTTTACTGGATTCTGTGATTGTGTACAGGTGTAGGTCAAATGTATAAAAATAAAACCCACTCATCAATTTTAAGAACACCTGTAAAACGAATAAAGAAAATGTAAAATTGCTGCTAAGTCAAATCTTTCAGAAATAATCTCTGGCAGTGGTCAGTTTAAAAATTATTTCCCACCCTTGCAAAATTGCCACATATAAATTGTTTTACTGGCAGTTCTACAGTAGTCCAGACTTTAGAAACCAGACAGTAAAATGGCTCATTGCCGGCATGGCCACAACATTGCCAGCACATACTGCCTTGGCATCATTCAGCAGAGGTTCTTGTTTATAAAGATGAAGTCTTGAATACTGTTCAATAAACTTGTCACAAAATAAAACAGGCTGATGCTTTTAATGCTTTAACTGCATAAGAGTACTTTACTGAGCTGATATTATCAAGTACTTTTTTTATAACTCCTGAAAATATTTTGTGCCTTTGGAAAGGTGGATTTGATGAACTAGGAGGTAACAATTGTTGTTTATCCTTGTCTGCTAATGCTGAAGTGTGAAAAGAAGAGGCTACCTGGAACAGCAGGGAGGAAACTTGATTCTAGGTCAAGTTCGTGGTATCCACCCTGTCAGAATGTTATGTGTGTTTTGCTAGTGAACTACTTCGTTATGTGAACTTGGAATGAACTGGAGACCAGGTGCTCCTTTTCATAGAAGGAGTCTTAAAGGGGTCTGTGAATTATTTTTAAAAACTGATTACAGTAGGAAATGGGAAAATAAAATCTTCAGGGTAGATTCTCAATTGCACACACTCTAAAGCTTTGTTTTTCTTTTTTGCTTTTGCATTATTAGTATGTGAGGTATTTGAGGAAGGGAAGAAAGGAATCAAAAATAACGCTTTCTGACATTAATGTTTTGATTTTTGTCTATTTCACATGTGTTCAACTTCTGAAAAATAGCAAAAAGAAAGTGTCTGTAAACTATAATCCTTTTTTAAAAAGTGGATTAGAGTCGCAGTGAAACTAGTGGCTGTTCCTTATAACCAAAACTCTAGAGAAATGTTTAAAACTTTTATTTTTATCATGAAAGAGTTTAGCTTGTATTAGAATTTGGATACTAAGCTTGTTTTAGAGGAGGTTAGACTAGACATAATTCCAGGTAGTAGCTGAGCCATTTTTAAATGATCAGGCTTTGACTAAGCATTGGAAAAATCACTGAGTGAAACCAGCCGCCTCCAGATATCCAGGTGGCCTTTATCATTTGAAAGGGATGGACTGTGATAATATGTCTCCTTTTCGTAATCAGGAGAGATCACTTCTATAATTCGTTGTCTGCTTTCCAGTGTTTTACAGCAAAAACAAAAAAAAGTTTATAAATTATGTGCATCATAACCAGTCTCCTCCCAAAAGTAGAGTTTTTAATGGGATATGGTAGAATAAAATTGCTTTATTTCACTTTTCTTTTTAGTATAAATCTGAAAGATCTCATTGGCTAATTGTAAAATGTCCTGGAAAGAGTGTACTGGCAGTAGCACAATTCTCTGATGCTGTAGTGACTTTTCTGGGAAAACCCTAATATTCAACACCATAAGCAAGTTAATCTGTTGGTACCTCCTCAGGTAAATGTTAATTCTTTGTTGTTCCTGGGTTTATTCTTGCTGCTTTTAGTTACTTTGTGTCAGAGAGTCTCAGTAGCATCCTGGCATGACTCCTTTTCTGGATCAACATAACTAGCAATGAGCAACCAAGGTGGCATGATTTTCTACATACTGCTCTACTACTGAAGAGTCCAGAAGGAGTAAAAAGCCACCTGATGTAAACATTCCAGCCACATGGAAAGAAGGGCAGCACATTAAAAGTCTGGAGGCAGGAAGCAGTGCTGGGAAAAATGTCATTAGCCAAATGCCTTGAAATCTGTCAAGAGCCCCAGGGGCTTCCCTTCTGTGAATATATTTAAGGTTAGGACTGGAGAGAAGTGGTAACTGGCACAGCAGAGCATTATTGGGATTGACACTCCAGTTGTTCCAAACATCTGGACTCTAATCTTGGTAACTTAATAGTCCAGGCCATTTTTCCTAATCAACTGATCGCTTGCCTTTTCATGTTGAGAGGAGGAGGAAGTGACTATTTGGTCATGAAGCACTGACCAGCAAGAGAGCATAATTCAATATGAACAGAGTTAAAGGCATTGAGTCAGCTTACCTCATCCCGGAAGTGAGCTATGTTGTATTCCAGTGGGCTTACCCCTTGGTGTTTCACTCCCTCTTCGTTCTGCTGCTGCTGATTTTCTCCTTTTGCCTGCTTATGTTGTAAATCTGCTGGTGACCAGGACTATAAATCTCACTTAGACTGAAGTTCTCTCACTGCTGTCTCTAGCCCCAGCCTCCCAATGGGTGGGAATAGTAGCTTTTGATTAGTGACCAAGACTTGTCACATGAATTTGTGCTTTATATCAAATGGTAACAACCACATTGTGCCTACCACAAGTCATCTGTCTTTGCAGAGTGGGATTGATTTAAGAAGGGAAAAAATTTCATTTAAAGAGTTTTAAAATTACACCAACTGGTGCTGCTGCTTTCCTCGTTTTTCTTTTATTCTACTTGGAAGTTTATTAATGTAACCCTCCACTACACTTCTCCACACACTGTATTGCAATGGTGGTGGGAGGGTGGCACAGCCTTTTTACATAACTCCCTTCTGCAGTGTGGCCTATGGGACCAGCGGCGTCCCTCTGCTATAAATCTGCCTAAAGTGGTGGAAGGGTTAACACAACAACTAGTTTAACTGAAGTAGATCCTGCTTTACTTCTATGATCATTGAATTGACAGGTTGGAATTGGAAACATGTTACCTTCAAGTTAAGACAATTTCACATGAGTATACAGCCATAATTGTATCCCTACTAACAAATTTTTGCACAGTGTTGTCCACCAGCACTTACACATTGGTGGAAAAGGAAGCAAAGTGAGATGCCTGTTCTTCAGAAGTTTAGAGTTAAGTCACACAAGTAAGTGCTCGTTGGTACTTAGGCTAGGTACACTCCTGTGTCACAGGAACCAGGTAAAGGCTTCCCTGGCAGATTGCTAAACTGTGGTCATATAGGAACTAAGAGTAAACTAGTCTGTAACTGTACATTAGTTTCTTATTCTCTGCTTCCTTAACATGCACATTCTGAAGAGTGACCCATTTTAACCTTTCCCAAAAATCCAAGATGAATTTATTCCAGTGAGGGGCAGGAAAACTTGTTATGAATAGTTAGTTTTCTTTCCCAAGAGCTCTGGTCTGCTAATATTCTACAGCTCCTTTTGTGCCGTAGACTACTGCACACTGGAGGTGCACAAGTTTCTGGTGATGTCTCCGCCCTGGAGATGCTCAGAAAGGTGGTCCAGTACTGTAATTTCAGATACCTTTCAGGTGATAGGCATTAAAAGAATGTAGGTTTCAACAGGGCAGACTACCCTGTAGATAATTCTTTGAAAATTTTGGTCTAGATCACATCTTTCTGAGGTGACTTCTACCTTACTTGCACAATTCGTGTTTGTTCTTTGAAACTTACACCTTGAATGAAGTCCTATAACTGGAGTCCAGCATATCCCCTGACCCAGCAGTCAGACTAATAAGAAGAATTATTTTCCATTTGTGTGCAAAGCTCTAGTTAGTATAGGTCATGGGAGAGGCCATATGAACCTCACTGCTCTTCAGCTGAATGGACTTCAGGTTGGACTGGATCAACAAGACATGAGCTGATGCAAAAATGGGTAGATATAGAAATCACTTTCTTGAACTCTGGTCGTGGCTCTGTCAGTTACTATGACCCAGGACAAGTCATCTCTCTGTGGCCTCAATGTTTCTTTTATAAACTGGTAATCATACCAGTTTTAAGCTGCTGTGATTGTATGAACTTAGCCATTCTATTTTTGGACATCTGTAGTGAGTTTGGGCCTTAAGGTTCCAGGAGTGGAACACCAAGTTTTTGTCTGGCTACTCTACTGCTTTTTCTACTGTAGTGGTCCCACACTACAACTTGAGAACTTTAAAAGGGAAGGATCTTCATTTCTCCTTTGGGAGGCTGTCCCTGTCCTGCCAGTCAGGTCCTCTGGAGCAGGTAGACAACAGGCATTCCTCCTGGATCCATTTCTCCTTGGTCCTATGAACCAAGGAATTAGAGATTCTGGAAAAGCATCCACAGCACCACTCACCCAATCATGAGCACTGAAAGGAGCAGCAGAGGACACTTTCTGTGGTTGGCTTTACGTTATCCTCAAAATAACCCTGTAAAGTTGGCATTGTCCCCACTTTATAGATTTACCTGGGGTTATCCAGGCAAAGATAAACAAAATAATAGGGATGAGCAAATAATTTTTTGTTTTGAGAAAGTATTTATTGAGAGAACAGAAAGGCTCCCACAGTAGGAGGGGACCCAAAGAGGTTGCCTGATTGTTTTGTTTTGTTTTTGAGTCAGAGTCTCACACCGTTGCCCAGGCTGGTGTACAGTGTGGCATGATTACAGCTAGCCACAACCTCAACCTTTCATCCAAGTAGCTGGAACTAGAGGCATGCGCCACTATGCCCAGCTAATTTTTAAATTTTTTGTAAAGACAAGGTCTCACCAAATTGTCCAGGTTGGTCTCGGACCCCTGGGCTCAGGCATTCCTTTTGCCTCTGCCTCCTAAAGTGCTGGGATTACAGGTGTGAGCTACCGCACCCGGCCTGGCAAAGATATTTCAACCAGAGGACTGCATGACTCTAGAGGTAGAGCCCCTCCCTCAACTGTTCCCTGCCTCTCCCTAACTTCTGGGTGAAATGTGGTAGGCTACTGGCAGCAGTCTTCTGTCATGGATCCTGTGCCTGCTGGGGAAGGGGCTTCTGCTCTGTTCCAATGCCTTTTCAGTTTCTCAGCTCCTACTGTGGAGGGGCAGATTCCATTACTTGTTGGTAAGTCTTTTTTTTTTTGAGTTGGAGTCTGTCTCTGTCGCCCAGACTGGAGTACAGTGGCCGCTCCCGGCCACCACAGCCCACCGCAGCCTCGACCTGCTGGGCAGGTCCTTC